GTTAAGTAATTTTTAATTATATTTAAATAAACAATAGTGTAACTTTACGAAGTAGAGCCACGCCAGCTTAGCTAGCTGCAGCACGAAAAGGGCGGCTCGACCGGGATTGGACCACGCCCTCATTAAATACCAGCTCGGAAAGAGAAAAACAATGCTGCTGTGTTTGTATGTTGGGTGTAGACCGAGACTCTTTTTACGGGAAACAAGGCTTGCCATCTTATCCAACATCATTGCTCACAACAACGCCTCTGCATTTTGATTTTGCATTTTGAAATTGATTCAAAACTTCACAAGACACGGTCCCGATCCACCTGCATCCATTGAATTTCCAGCACGTTTCACCAGGTCGGCATTAATAATGCATTCGCTTTCCATTTTAATATATAGAAAAGTCTTGATTATAATAAAGTCAAGCGAAATCGCAGTTCAAAGCTTTGCCCTGTTGAAAATCTATAATATTATATTAATTTTAAAATATAGAAAATTCTTAATTATGATAAAATCAAGCGAAATGGCAGTTCAACTAAAGTTTTAATTGAAAATGTCAACACCTCTCGAGAACTTCTCAACGGGGTAATTTTAATATTTTCAAGTTTTTAGATGTTATTTAATTTTACCCACATTTTATGAATTGGTGTTTCATTTGAAGTTTTAATATGTTCTATGTTTTTAGTAATAAAGTTTTTTGTCCACTACAAAGTTTAAAACTTCCATAAAAACCTACTATGTGCTCTGACAATAAACGAAAATATAGTAAAAGAATACAATAACCCAAAATATGAAAATTTAGGCGAAATTGTATTTCGGCAACCCTCACTAGATGGAGTGACGAAATAGTCAAACATGCAGGAAGTCGACGGATATAGGTAGTTCAGAACCGTGCTTTGTGGGTTTCCTTGGGATCGGCCTGTGTTCACCAGTGGACTTGTGAATGGCCGTAATGATGATGAATGATGAATGCAAGAATTTATTAGGCCGACCTTATTTTAAGCTATGTAGTGAGTTCAGAAGGTTGCATAAAATAAAGAAATTCTATTGTAAATAATCTCGGTACAGAGTAAAGGTTAAATAAGTACTCTGTAATCGTGCAGTTGCGGTGTAAGAATATTCACTACCCGATATGATCTCTCCTTATAATAACCTATGTTTAGCATCTGTAAAATTTAGCGCGTAAAATATTAAATAGTTCTAAAATATTAAAAAGTTACAAACTTGTGCACTGAAGCAAGTGACACCATTTTAAGCCAAGCGACTGTCTACACTAATGCAAGTTACTTCCACCTCTATAGACAGTCGCGTTCTACGTGCTTCGCCAGTGCAAGTGACCGTAACACCAATATGCGTGACGAGGAGATTCAATGTGGACCTCCCTAAATTGTCATAATTACGATTCATTTAAGCTTACGTGTTTAGTTTGTTAAATTGACGTATGTTTATAATATTCTTTATTTATCTTATACAACAGTGGTATCAATTAAAAGTAATAAAGCGTTTGAGAGGTCAATAAATTACAGATTTGTTAAAAAAAGCACAGTAAGCAAATACCACATAAACAACACACATATACATATATTAAGATGAAACAAAAGTTAACAAAGGATTATACTAAACAACTGAAATATTTTTTTATTAATAATAATTTTTGGCCAGTTTTTCACGTTTATCAGTAAACCACGGTCATTTGATAATTTTTTTCAAGAAAAACATAAAAATATTATTATGTGCCTACGCAACATTTGAATTATGAAATGAACAGCTTGACACCAATGTTTTCGCCAGTAGTTTCTTTGCTACCAACCTAACAACAAAATGAAAATGAGTTCGATAATCTTTCAAATAAAATTCAAACTTTATGATTAAACATTTGAGTAGTCCAGCTTGTATACAAAGAAAAAGTAAAAACAAAAAAGATAAGAGCGGTTTGCGAAAGAAATAATAAAAAATGTGACTATTCTTACATAACGAAATTTATATTTAAACGGAAGCTTAGAATATTTTAGTCAAATGGGAACAATATGTGAATAGCAATGAATCATCTACCAAATTCATGTCCAAAAAGAAAAGTGTAAGTCTGTAAGATACGTGATAACAAAAAGCTTTTAGGAAACGGGTAATTAAACGGAAATGGAACATCATTGCCAAATATGTTGTTTCAAGACTAGAAAAGAAAGGGTAATTTTGACCAGACAGGTAAGTTTCTTTACTTTCAAAAGATTTAAATATTACAAAAATACACCCTAATCAAACTTAGTTCAGTCAGTTTCAGTGATAAAACAGGAACGTAGGAAAAAACGTTTAAATCATCTGATAAGACTAGCCAGATTGTCACGCATTTGAATAAAATAGTCCTACGTATGATGAAAAACGAAACACCACTAGTACTTGTGGAAATAAGATAATAATTTAGAGTGTGGAAATAGGATTATAATTTAGAGCTCGAAAATTAAAAGACATTGATTAACACAATTTTAATGAACGCTGTAGCAGCTGTTACATTCGATTCGCTAAATATACGAGTTCATACTTAGATTAACCTCATGGACACGTAAGCAATTATTTAAAGAGAAAATTATAATTCACAACTTTACTGTTGGAGTGGATGATCAACAAGAATATTATTATTTATAGACTACAAAAAGGAGTCAAAATAATAATCAGTCCTGTTTCTGCATTATTGAATTGAAGTTAAGTATTTTTGAAAAGTATCAGTTTCAACTTACTGCATTATCTTGTTTTATTATATTACAGTGTAGTGGCGGTGTAAGCATACCCACTACCTCATATCGTCCAGTCAGTTACTTTAGAGGCGACAGAGAAAAGAAACAGGTTATGGGTATTTGCATGTTCCTGATAAGAACCTAATATAACAACTTACTGCGGTAACTAAGCCGCCTGCCAGGCGTGGCAACAGTGACAGAGTTGCCCCTGTGAGACAATCGATAGAGAAGCTTATGTTGAACAGTTGAGTTTTTATAGACTGTAATGAGCAATCATTTCTTAATATACTATTTACTAATCCATATTTTGTTAAAATCAATACACACTTTTTCGATTTTCGAGTTTTTATACTTGTATGTCATAATTACTTTAATCAAAAAAATTTTTTTTTCATATTTTTGTGTTATGCACTACTAAAGCCGTTGAAAAATATTTTAACTAATAAAACCAAAGCACTGCATATAACTGGTACAAGTAGTTTGAAAGTACTTAGTATACTGGTTAAAGTGGTAAAAGTTCGTAAGAGATAATGATTTATTAAATTGTAGGCGCCAAATATTAATCAGGTAGTGTGCAAATGCATGTAAATATGGTTTTGCCTTTCTTTATTCCATAATATGCAAAAATATACTTTATGATATGATACTTGTAACTCTTTACGTGTTTCACTATTTTAAATAACGCAAACTACATAAATGTTAATGACACTATTTTCCAAATTATAAAAAAAAATATTTAAAATTAATTATGACATCGTTTGCCTCTAATATTTGGGTAAAACATTTCAAATATCTTCTGTAAAGTTGTGATTTTGCACGTGCATTAGTACATAGGACCCGTCGTAATGATCTTTTCCAAAGTTCTTTCTTGAGGTTTATTTATAGGCCGTTTCTAGTATTTATGGCGTGATCGTCTTAGTAAGAACAAAATTTACATTGTGTTAGTTTAACAACCTTTTTCTTATACGTGTAGCTTGGAGGAATAAATATTCACTAGAGCCATAGAAAGCCGTTGGTAGTGCCTTCTAGTCATTTAAGCTTAAAACCCTGTTCAAGAAAAAGAACTCTAAAAGATTAAGAATATTAAATTATCATTATTCCACTCGTATCAGGTTTATATTACCCAATTTACCGAGAAAAGCTCACAATATTAATATAAAATTTCCGATACAAGAGATTCGTTCTTCCATATATATAATGATGACGGCACCATACAGGCCAACGGCTTGTGCGGTGCGCACCAACCAACCAATATTTTCCCTAAAAGAGTAACGAGAAGTTGTGAAATGAATCGTAGTCCACAGCAAAATAACTGGCGAACCAGAAAGAGTACTGCGTAAGCACAAACATCGACTGAAGCTCTGCATGTCAATGCGTTTAAACGTCACACAGAATACGATGAAATCCAGCCACAGAGAATAAAATACCATGTACGTGAGCGCCACCACCTGCCAGACCGCCGCTCCTGCAGACGTGATGAAAGTGTAAGGCATCACCACCGATTGCAAGGTCGGCACGGCTACTAGCCGCACAGCGTATCATAAGTATACCGCTCACCTCAAGAAGATGGGGTTCCTTGACGGCCTTTAAAGACTCCTCCCACCAGCTATCATCTGCATGAGGTCGACACAAATTATGCTCCAAAAACCAATACAATGGCATATAGTCTATAACATTCGCCATCAGAAAGGGTTTGTGTAACTGACGTTGAGTGTAAATGTATATTTCGATTATGTTTGTCTCATCCACCAAAATCCACCAAAGGTGGGAAACTTACAGAGATTCTTTATTTTGTGGTTATATAAAATGTTATAGAGGCCAGACTCTGCAGCCCTGATGTGAAGGGACCCCACCTGGGCAAAACTAATTATATTAGTATGAGTCAAACAAAGACGCAGAGAGCGCCTTTAAGAATAGCGAACCGCCAAACAACCAACGCAGGGACGCAATGCTGCAGAATACAACAAGCATCAATATGACTATCGATGGACTTTCACCATCCCATTATCCCTCATAAGGTCCCGTATGAGTTACGTAGTGTACCACAACGGCATTGGCGTCAGATGTTGTGACGTTTTTCGGAGGTGAAACCGTTGCCATGTCCATGGCCGCCTCTTTCGAGATATCACAATCACACTGAAATTTCGTGTGAATCACAGTGCAAAAAGTGAAATAATTTGATGTGAAATATTGAAGAAGGAAGGCAAAATGAAATTTGAATATAAAACACTAGCTTAAGTCTATTTTAGCTATTTATTATAGACCATAAAAACTTAACAGTTTTCAAAGTCGCGTTCCACACCGGCTTTGGCGCCAAATGTCATGAAATCCTTCGGAGCTGAAACCGTTGCCATAACCTTGGATGAGAGCAGTTCCCGTGAAGTCTTCATTCACGATACCCACATCACCGTAGCCACAGCCGTATCTTACAAAACCAGTGCCAGCTGTAGGCAACGCACCGTCAAATAGTGCGGTGCCTAATAGTGGGAGCTGACCGATGACCGACAAAATGCCCGAAATTTCGTTATCGGATGCTACGGATACACCGTAAGGAGCTGTGGGTGAGCTACTGATTACAGTAAAACCTCCACCGTTGGCGGCTGCTAGCGCTGCAGCTGCGTTTGCTGCAGATAGTGAACAATCATTATAAGCTAAGCCATTGTCGTAAACGCCGAAGTTGTTGGCACACCGCGACAGGCATTGTCCGTAGATGCTCTGAAATTTTATAAGAAGTACTTATATCGGGAAATAGTAGAATCACGTTAAGGTTAAAAACAATAACACGAGCATAAGTAAGAATACATTAAGGTTAACTCTCCGGGACCAACAAACCGAAAACACAAGAAATAACGAAAACTGTAGCAGCCATCCTGTTTGTTTTCCAGTAATACTACCAGGGAAGCACCAAGACGAAATGATTCTAGAATAATGCTTCACACATTTATATTTAAACATTGGTACCGTAATCAGCTTTCAGCACACCTTGCAAAAGTACAGACTTGCAAAACGTGGTAGCTTATCATAACTGCACGTGAGCTGGCAAGGAGAAGAATATTTACTCAATACGAAAACAATATATTATATGAAAAATATTTAGGAAACTAACGGTAAGTATGCAACAGTATAGGATATCAAATTCATTTTTATGAATATATTAATTACGAAATGATAAAATAAATAACTACGATGGTAGTTATAATGGTATAAAAGCGTAGACATAAGTAGCAATCGTTAGTCAGTCGAATATCAAACCAACATATCTACATTCTCCTACTTTGGGCTATTGGTGTGCTTCTATACATGAGTCGTACAGGTAAAAATTAGTTTAATAAGCAACAGATTCTTTATTTAAAAATGATACTTGACATTATGATTTAAATAACTTCATACCAATATTTTTTTGAATTTTTAGGACGTATACGGCCAGTGCCATCAACACGGTCACGTAATTGGATATGGGGCAGGTAATAATTGGTGCGGGTGTTGGGGAGGAAATGGACTGGGTATCATCAATAACTTGGGTAAAGGCTACGGGTGGAGTGGTACTGAAGTCGTCGGAGCCTACGGTGGAGTCGGTACAGGTGACTTGGATATCGCTGGCGAGCTGCCAGTCGCAGGCGTCACCACAGTCGCTGGACACGTACCGATACTAGGTGCCGTGCGATTCGGAGGCGGAGTGCCGGCAGCTGGAACCGTCTCTATTTGCGGAAAATGTGACTGCGATTGCAACGGGCTGCCATGGTTTTGAAGTAATTTTCCAACGTCTTTTCCAAATAGATATTACTTCTTAAAATATAGTATTTGAGGCATAATTGTTTTGCTTTTTTTAATGCAACCCGAATAGTATAATCTATTTTAAGTGATGTCAATGCTGTAAGACAGTCAGCTTTTCTAATTTTCTTTCAAATCATAATGGCGGCAAAGGGGCACAGAGTCTACCAATCATCATCATCATCATTATCACAGCCCTTCACAAGTCCACTGCTGAACATAGGCCTCCACCAAGGTATGCCACAAAGCACGGTCCCAAGCCACCTGCATCCATCGACTTCCTGCATGTCTTACCAGGTTGTCACTCCATCTAGTGGGGGGGCGCCCTACACTTCACCTACCGGTACGAGGCTGCCACTCGAGAACCTTTTTTCCCCAACGGTTGTTGGGGCTATGTCGGTCACTCTGGTTCTACTGCGGATATCCTCATTTCTTAGTTTATCACGCAGAGAAACTCCGAGCATAGCCCTTTCCATAGCTCGCTGAGTGACTTTGAGCGTCCTTATACGGCCAACAGTGAAGGACCACGTCTCGGTTCCGTAGGTCATCACTGGCAACACGAGTCTACCAGTGATGATAAGCAAATCTTGAATACGATTCAAAATGTACACGCGTTTTCCAGGCAGATTGCTTCGTTACTATTAAAAACTTTCCACAAGCGGTCTTTTAATGTATATGGATCGTTATAAGAGCATTTCGAAGAAAATTTCACGAAATCCTTTTTCTTAACTTTTAATGGATTCAATACTACTTATTTTATTTGTTTATATTGAAGTTACAAAGTTCAATTTATATTACAAAAATTATAATAAAGAACTGAACTAAAATAATAACTAAAATTATATTATTAAAGATTAAAACTAATTATATACAACATAAAAGAAGAAACTATAATATAGTAAATCTAAAACTAAAAATTTAAATCGTCAAAAAGACCTGTTCCCCGTGGTATAGTACCAAGAACGCTGGCTGCGTTTCCTCGCTGAATAGCTATACTTAGCCTTTGAGCGAGGAAAGAACCAGCCCTCTTATCACCAGCAGCGACGACCAGTCGTGGATACAGTTCCTTTAGAAACTTCATTGCACGTGGACCCCACGGACCGATAGTCTCTACAGCAAATGGCACAAATATGTAGACATTTCTCAAAGACTCATATTTGCGCCATTTACTAAATTCGGCTGCCTCTGACGCTGCCCCGGCTCTAAAAGAGGTACCATTGAGATGAGAGGCCGCCAAAGTGTCAACGCAAGTAGCATCCCACACTAGGGCTTTACCTCTCTCCCAAGGGACCAAAGTCATACCGTCGGGTCTCTTGCCATCGTCTCTAAATATCCCGCAAGACTCTAAAACCAAGGGGATATTTATAGAGACAAGAGCCCTTCGGATGATTTCGTTCAAAGAACAGTGACGGGAAAACCTACCTGCACTTTTCTTGCATGAAAGTCCGTGGAGCCCAAACTCATTGACGCTGCTACCACTTACTTTTAATTAAACTTAATTATTTCTAGTCATTTTTATGCCTATGATTAAATATGTATGATAAGTTACGTCATGATAAAAGCAAAATTATTTAAACCACCTTCACTTTATTATCGACACTAGCATACAGTAAACTTTTCATTTGTGAAGTTTGTCACTTGAGTATTTAAAAAAATGTGTCTTAGGATTTTTTAAATAATAAAGGTGATGAAATTGAAAACCGTAAAGATCTATTTATTATTTAAAAATCCTTTATTAAATAAAGTATAGTTCTTCACAGCCGACATAACACCTTGAAGTCACCACAAATCATTTAGCATTACTTTTCGTTTTTTTTGTTGTTGTTGTTAGTTTGGCACACTAGTTATCCATTTTGGCGCGGAGTTTAAGTTACATTTGTTATTTAAATTGAATACAATGTTGTTTTTAGTTATATTATATCTGTTGTATATTGCGAATTTCATGATGGACAAAAACATCGAACAAAGAGTTTATCTTAAATTTGCGTTGTTAACGGAATGCTTTTATCGGTTTATGCACAAATTTCATAACGGTAAACATGCAAAACCCAGTAGCTTATCAAACAGCACGTGAGTTAGCAGAACAAAAATTATCAATTTAACTTGCAAGAAAGTATGCAACAATTTTTTTTAATTTATTTGTAAGAAAATATGACATAATATTATATGTACAAATCGGTATACAAAATAAAGATTCAATCAAAAATGGATAGAATTATATTTCTAGTTACCAAAGTACTTATTTTTCTTACAACGCTTGAGAAAAGGTTCGATTTGATAAAAATATAATTAATTAAATTAAATGTAGTGAAGACAAGTATACAAAAATTAATTACATAACTTTTACAAAATTTTAAAATATAATAGTATGGAAGCATAGAAATATGGACGCAGTCGTCGGTCAGTCGATCAGGAAGCAAATATGTTTACATTCGCCTTCTACGGGTTATTGGTACATACCAACAATAGACACATTTCGTAGAAACACGTCCATGCTTGTGTCGTGCAGGTAAAGAATAAAATAAATAATTCATTTATCATTTCCGTTACAGCCAGTCAAAAGCTCACTGATGTACGTAGGCCTTTCCTAAAGATGTTCACATACGCGGGATATCTGCCATTGTTGCCAGATTAGGCAAGCTGGATGTTAGGAAAACCCTGCTACCTCTCTCCTAGTTTCGTTTTCATCTTACGACATCTTATATAATAATATATAAGGGACGTATAAGGTCATCTTATAAGGGACGAAATAACTAATCATGAATAGTTAATTTTAATAATTAAAATATGTTGAATTTATGTTATTTGTATTATATGATCGTCCAGTACCTTACCTAACGGTCTGTAGTTGGGATTCGGCACAGGTTACTTAATTTGACGCGGGAGAGGAAACCGATATGGTTTTATCAACGGCTTGAGCATTGATTACAGTTGGACTGCTAGTGAAGCTGTAGAAGCCTACGGTTGAGCCGGTACAGGTGATTAATGAATCGTTGATGAGCTGCCTGTTTTAAGGTGCAGCCGCTAGACACGTAGCGATACTAGACGCCATGTACAATATTTTAAGGGTCTGAATCGGGTCTCCGGTTCTCTACCCTCACCATAAGAAACATAGTGGCGATAAGGATTACTTAACCTTGATAGTTAATCGTGTATAAATTGAGGTTAAGTCGAATCCACCCTAATCGCATTATTGAACCAAAAGTTTAAAATTTTTATCCCTTTACCTTTCACTGATTACGTTGTATCCGTTAGTCTACAATGATTCATATAATTTCAATTTTTTTATACGTGGCTACAGCTTAATTATGATTATTATTTTATTAAATATTAGATAAGACTAGCCACACCAGCCTCGTAAAGTAAAGTAAAGATACATCCTATATAAGTCCCACTGCTGAGCACAGGCCTCCCCTCATTTCTGAGAGGGTTTTAGGGCAAGGAAGTGTCCGCCGCGCTGCCCCAATTCGTGTTAGCAACTATTTATAGAACAACATATTTATAGATCTTACCCAGCCTCGCCTGGGTAAGATCTATAAATATGGCGTTATTGAGAGAAATCACAAAAAAATATTTATTTACCAGTGTTGATTAAAACGTCCAAGCTTTACGGATAAAATATAGCCCAGACCACTCCTAGCAATGTTTTCTATCAGTACGGGAAGTTTGATTAAAATCGGTTCTGCCATTCTGAAAATTATCCCGTCTGTATATCTGATACAGACGTATAAATGGTTATTAATGTTTCAATGGCTCGCATATAACCCCTTAGCTCAATATAAGGCAGCTATTCTGATATTACATTTATATATCTGTGTCTAAAATTAGATGAAGGTTATTGAAGATTATGCTAATCACTTACTAATTGTCAACAAGATTTATTACAAATGATTATTTAAGAAATCCCAAATTATACATTAAACAGAGTAAGTTTATTTAACTGTTAACCTTTACATTATAATTTCGTTAACTCAAGTTTTGCTTTTAAATTGGTTTTCAATGTGATATTGAATTCAAAATGAAAGACGAATAAATAACAGCGAATAAATTAATACAGACTGCTAAATCGTATGTACAACGATCAGTAAGATTAAGTGGCATCGCATATCGCTCGAAGAACCGATAAATAATAAAGAAGAATGTTTCCTTGTGGCAGTCTCATACCCGTAAGCCTAGTGCAAGGCCATCCTACACTCGCAGAGGCCGGCTTTCCACTAGATGGAGTGACGACTTGGTACGAGATACGAAAAGTCGTTGGATGCTGGTGGCTCAGGATCATGCTTTGTAGCATTCCTTGACAGAGATCTGTGTTCAGCCGTGGGCTTTTGATGGACTGTAACGATGATGATAATAATGCGGAAATAGACGTCTGGCTAAGAGTAACCAACAAAGATTAACTTAAATTAACTTCTGCTAAAGTAAATTTACACTTTCATGATCTCGTCTGCCTCAATATTATAATAGGTGAGTTATTAACTTTTTCTGATGTCTTTTTCCGTTGTCAGGGACTGATTGTAAGGAATATCGCAAATATATTGGGTCTGCAAATTATATTATAATTACTCTGCATTTTTTTTAATGTTTAATAATTTTTTAAATACGAGAAAATCTTCCACGAGAAACAATGGTTTTTGAGTGGCGGGGTGGCCCTTACACCTCCTTGGGGAGGAGGTTCTGTATTCATCAGTGAACTTGTTATTTTCCTTATGACGACGTAAGAAAATCTATCACCTGTTTATGTTAAGAAAAGACTATGGGAAATGATTGGACGTTTGTGCGATTTTTTGGCACGCCTACATGTGGATTCTGCTATCACCAACGTTTTTTAGCCAATTTTTAGAAAAGGAGAAAGTTCTGTATTCGAATGTAATTGCTTTTTTAACTTCCCGCCAAGAAAATTGAAAATTTATATAAATAGGGAACTTATGGATTTCACCCCGATTTTCGAAAATCCAGATTTCATCAGATCTCGACGTT